AGAGTTTTAAGTTTTTGTATGTTATTTAGGTACATTGTACCGCAATGTTAGCCGCCCTGAGCCCGCTTGCGGGATGGGCGGGGTACAAATATAATAAATAAATAAATAAATAAATAAATAAAAAAGGTGGTCCTGAAATGACGTGGCCACCAGTCTGAACGCCCCCTCCGCTGACCCCAGAATGGACAGAAGGCACGACTGGTTTGTGCTGCCGGAATCCGCACCCTCAAACACCCACCGTGCTTGCGCCACCTCACCCACCCCCCCATCCCGCACGAGGTGGGGGCCCCTAGCAGGACGGGCTCCCAAAGGTGCCACGGAGGCTGGGTTTCCCACTGGGCGGCAGACCAAACAAGCAGGAGCCACACGGCCCCTTCAGAAGCCTTGGGAACCCCCTCCCCCCCCCAAGAAACACCATTTTTTGTTGGAGGTGGAGGGATTTTGGTGCTGTCTCCTGCCTCAGACTTGAGAAGACGGCACCAAAGAGTTTAGACAGATAGAGAGGTCTCAAGAGGACACACGGAGCATCCTTTCCTTCCTGCTACCTGATCCTTCCCTTTGGAGTAGGAGGCTACTCTCAGGGGCAGTTCCCTCTGCTTCCGCTCTCACACGCCACACTGCTCTCTCGCACGCACACCAAAGGAAGGTGCGTGGTCTCTCCATCTTCCACCATGGAGGCTGGGACAGGCGCCCAATAGCCAACACCGTCTAGTTAGCTAGAGTAGGTCATCTATACCTCTCTCTCACCTGCACACTCTCCAGCACGTATTTCCTTTAACAAAAGTTGCTAATTCATTTTAGAACTGACGGCTGACTCCGTGTAACTTTGTAAGTCTGCTGCTACGCCCGGCCCCAGCTCTGCCGCGTTGAAGCCTTGAGCACTGGGCTACTTGTTTTGGGGTCCCTCTGGCAGTACCGAGCCCAGAGGACCCAACATTTTTGGCCTCCTCCCAGGGGGTTGGTGCGTTTGGAGGCTTCCCTTGCCAGGTCCGGAGGGGCCTCTGGGCCACGTCTCCATTCACGCCCTGAAGCTCCTTCCACCTGGAAGAGGGAAATGATTCACTGCAGAACAAACCAGGAGCCTCCCCAGCCCAGGTGTGCAAAGGCCTCCCCCCCACCCCACCCCACCCACCACCACGCTTGCCGACACACAAAGGAGGAGCCGGCGGACTCTTGTCAATCTGGCACTTCCG